TTCACTCGAAAGGAGTTTGCGATGAGGATCAGGTATTTATTTATAGCAACTTATAGCAAACCCAAATGTCTTTCTGAGCACCTTATTGTGACTCCAAATGGTACACCTTCTAGCTTCAAGTTTATCAACTTAAGAGTAGACACAATGGTCTTCAGTGTTTTTTTTTTGGTTATTCATTATTATCATTTAAAAAGTATACAAACAAGGAAATGGAGACGTATACTGCCGGTGCCCCTGTCCGTCGGTCCTTTGATATTTCTTGTGAACACAATAGAGATGGTCATGTTTGAATTTGAGTTTGAGTTATTGAGTTGCCCTTGTCTTAGAAAAAACACTTCAAAATATGTTTGTGAACACTGTAGAGACTACAGTTTCCATCATTATTAAATTCAGTGTGATCATTTATTACAATGAGTTATTGCATCAAATCAAAACGCATCAGAATTTGTTGGCTTGTGAACTTGATAGAGGTGACAGTTTATGTCAGAATTTTATGAATTTTGTGTGTTTGAATCAACAATGTCTTTGACAAATTAGAGTTTTTGTACTAAAAATATATCAGAGAAGTGGGCGTATTTTGCCAGGCAACCACTTATTATTTACATTGATTTTGGTCAAGATTAATTTTTGACAATTTCTTATTAACAATTTTAAAGATTTTGCCCTTGATATTCAATAATTGTCATTTAATAATTTTATGTATTTGAGTTATTGCTATTGATTTTCAAAAATTTGTGGAATAACTTAGCATAAATAAGTAGCAGTAAATATATATAACATTGAATTCAAACTACAAAATAATGTATTATGACGATCTTTAATATGAGAAAGTTTGTACTTATTCGCTATGTCACCACCTCCCCTGGCAAGCTATCTTTTTGGTTTTTTGACAACTTGGATCAAGGTTATTGATCTAGGATGTCCATTCATACTTTGATCTTTGATGTTGAATAAAAATTTTCAAGTCTCATACTTTTTATGTGACCCTTGTTGACAAGAACAAAAGTTAGTGTGCTTGACCAGATCTATTAAATGATATCTTAATTTTTGTTATGCGATGTTTATTTCCAGTTTGACAGCAATTTGAAAATCTGCTTTTAACTACCAAATGTTAACACTTTTACTACCGAATGTTTTCAAATTAATGTATTTTTTCACTGATGAATGTTAAATGGTTAACATGCTTTTCTTTACCGTAAAAAATCCCACTATGACCTTAACATTTTCTCTGATGTAGCAGATCGGTTACGTATTCTGTACCTTCCACAGTTCTAGTTATTTTTGTAAACATTATGCCCAAGTTCCTTGGTCTTAGAACTGAAGAAAGTTATATAGGTCAAAACTTTTAAGGTGCGGTCTTGGTCGGAGATTTTGGTCTCTGACTCAAATCTTGATTATCCTGTGGCTGACAGGATTTATATTAATAAACAAGTTTGATAATTGTCTCCGATAGTTTTATCGTCTGCAAGACAGACCATCATCATCCAATCATATTACTTTTCCTTTCGATTGCATGCTCCACACGTGATTATCGACAAATGTGGAAAACATTGACTGGAGATTTTTGTCTCCTCGTGTGCCTGTGCCTTTAGCTGCTGTGTTGGCATGACCACTACAAATTTGGCTGTCAGAGTTTAATGTTTTTCTTTTTCTAGCAGTCGAAAGGTTATAGTAGCAGTAATGTGTTAATACAACCATTATGGGACAATACTAGAATACACGATGAAGTTGGGTTACCAATGTATATAGCTTGGGATTCTGGTAACAAATTTTTTCTTTTTATCTTATACACTTTCATCCCATCAATTTGTCAAACATATATTTTAATGATAGATCTAGAATTAAGTCAAATTTGACTTCAAAAATGTTTCAATGGTCAGTTTTGATACGCAAACATTATAATGTGTAATAAATGATAATAAAACTTGACATCAAATACCATCCTTTAATACCTAATGTTGTGTCACAAAAGTTATGACTACAAATGGTGGAAGGCAGACAATATTATAATATGGTTGTATACATTGACTGCCTCCCTCAGTCTATCCCTCCTCTATTGTGTTGTGAACACAGTAGAGACTACAGTTTTCCTCCGATTTTAATGAAATTTAGTGTGATCATTTGTATTATTGTGATCTTTGTCAAGTTTTGCATTTGACAATTTTTCAATGTAAAGTTTGCCCTTGACTTAGTAAAACCGCATGTAAATTTGTTTGTGAACACAATAGAGACTTGTACAGTTTTCATCCAATTATAATGAATTTAGGTGGTTTTGTAGTCCTTGAATTAGTAACAAATGGAGACTAAAGTTTTATCTGATTTAATTAAATTTATGTTAATGAGTTCTTGGTCAATTTTTCGATTAAACTATAGCTCTTAATTTAAGAAATATGAATGACAAAATTAGTTTGTCAACACAGTAGAGACTAGAATTATTTTCTGATTTTTATAACAATATATTAAATATGACGGGACAGTGACAAAATTTTATGAAATTTTGTGAGTTGGTTTAAATCAACAAAATCTTGGGTCAATTTAGATTTTATGTTACGATTTGACACAGATTGATGACCACCCTTGATATACTGAAAATTTATCAAGATAATGTACGCCAACTGGCAGCTTTGATTTTGAATAAAAATATTTGACAGCACAGTAACAATCGCTAGTATGAAATATTCAACCTTTTTTTATTTTCAGTAGGGTTTAACTTTGAGTGATAACCATGTTTTGTCATGATCCGTCGAGAAATCTGCTTTCTCGCATAATCTTGTGCACTTTGAGAAATTGAGAAATTTGAGAAATTTGTGGCATTTGATGAGAAGTGAATGATCTTTTATTCAGATAGCCCAGGATTTTCAACAACATCACTTCTCTATATTGATTAGTTATGTCCTCTTCAAGTTTGAACACAAACTTGTACGAATTTATATGCACTTGACGTGCATTTACAAAAACATGCATTTTCCATCTTAGGAAATCTGCTTCACAACAGCTATACAAGCTAGAGCTTTGAAATTTGGCATGATTATTCTCCTTATAATACTTTACAGGATTATTTAAGTTTCATCAATGTATGTTCAATATAAAATTATTTACAAGAGTAAAAAGTTCAAAAAATTTTGCGCAAAAAATTTGTATCTGGTCATCTATTTTAGTTAAATATGGTCATATGTTCATGCAGGATAGATAATCATGTACTGTAAGATAGTTTTTTTATCATAAAAACCAAAATTAGAACTATTTCATAAAAATTTTAAAAATGCTTTTCCTAAAACATGTACTGTTAAAGTCTTTGAATGCCATTTAGCAATTGTGAGTACGATATATAGACACAGCTTTATGGAACAACAATCACTGGTTAAAGTTTTATGCAATGTTTTGACGTGTTTCCCCCGTCGTCCTCAGGCACATAATGAGAAGAAGTGATGGGCAAACTATATATAGATTAATGCTAATTATTAAGAACACACAAGAGATAAATGGTTTATTGATACATTACATTAAATTTTAAAAGGTACAATAAGACGTACATAATTCTTGAAATAACATACAGGCTGATTAAGTAACATAATTGAAATAAAGTCAATGAATTAAAAAAGATTAATTGAAGATTAAATAAACAACTATTGCTGGTATTGGAGTCTTTTATTAATAGAAATTACATTGTTCATATAACTAACTATGCTTAAAGTTGGAAATTTTTTATTAAATACATTTATGAATATGAATAATTACAAGTCATATGCATGCGATAAATGAACACCTTCATCTCTGTTAAGGTCAGGCTGATATCTTCTGATGTGGATAGCTTCATGAAGTCTCCTGGTTTTATCTATGTGCTTATTGATTGTCAGTATGTTGGTGTTGTCAAAGTTGACCCTGGATAGGGCCCACAAGGCTTGTCATCGGCAAGTGAGACCATTCATGGAGATGATTAATGGTGAAGGCAGTTGTATAAAACTTTGATGCTTTGACAGGATGAAGATATGAGGCTTTAAATAATAAATGATGATAAATAATGTTATAAATTTGACCCACTGAAGAAGTGTGTTTATACAAAGGAAACTTTGGAGTAATAAACAGTTTATTTTTTTGACAGAAATTTTATTGGAACCTGGTATGCATGATATATATATTGATGAGATTTTCTATCGACTTCAAATTTGGCTCCTTATGGATGAACATTTTTTAGTTTTTGTCCTTTGTACTCTTCTGTGTACACATTGTGAAGCCAAACCCAGCATAATATCAGAAATTAATGATTAAAATGATTTGCATCAACATGCCACTTATAAATTGTTTTGAATGCTTATAATAATCTCCTTTCGCACCAATCCTCATTAAGCTAATTGAAGGTTTCTCATTATAATGAGTGTTACAAAAAATTTTTAATTTTAATTTCTTTTTCTATGATAACAATATATAGGTTAAATGAGAGTGTCATTATCGTTAAAGCTAGTAAATTTGTATACATTAAAAATTATATCGAATAAATATTCTAGAAGTATTTATCCATAGTAATTGTCGTACTTTTAAGATGCCATTGAAGGAATATTGAAACTGCTATTCAACCAGATGTCATAATTTGATTGCTGCTGTTTACAGGACACCTATGGTTAAGGTCAAGGATATACTTGTTATTAAGGTTTAAGCTGACCTAAAACTTTTTCCTTTTCAGCTAAAAGTGCCACTATGATAGATGCGTTAATAACAGAAACTCAACCTTACTCCAGAGCGTAAGTAATTAGATGATTATATGAAACCAATAAAAAAACATCATTATTGTTGCTACACAATAATCATTGCTGAACTGGTTTTAGTCTACTGCTTCATGTTTGGGCATACAAAATAGAAATTGATGTTTATTAAGGTGAAGGAGACATCAGACATCAAATATGAAAATGTTCTGAACTATAAAGCTGAAACAACTGGTAAAACTGACTTAGAGGGTGACATAATTGTGTGTAAAGTTTTTATTTGATCAATGTATTCTATGCTAGTTACACCCCTGCCCAAAAATGTAAATAATGAGAAATTTAACCCACGCCCAACTCAACAGTTTTGGCATTGGTTAATTCTTATTTAAATTGTCTAGTTGTGTTCTAAATTTCAAGCTTTTACATCAAATAGGTCATAAGATATTTATACACCAAGCTCAAAGAAGCGAAAATTTTATAAAAAAAAAAAAACACCTTACTCTAGTGTTCCACTAATCCCATCTCAGCGTTTCAGAACATTGGCTTAGCATGAGTATCCATATCCCTTTAACACTAACCCCTAGAGGTTTACATGATGCAGACGTCAGAGCTCAAGATAATATTAGTGTAGTGTTATCGTTTGCCAATATGTTTCTTGTTCCTTTTTTTTAAGACAAGCTGCTTCAAGAAGTGCCAGAACTATTTCATTTGTTTTTTTTTTATGTCTTTTCCGCTGCTTACATCACCATATTGATTCAGACTCGCTTCAATTCTTCATATCTCAGCTCTGCTAAATATTTCTCTATTCTCAGCACTGACACAAACTACAATGTCTACATTACCCAAAGTTTTAGAATCTCACCGCTCTGCTACCATTCTAAGGTCATTTGCAACACATATCACTTATTGTTCATATATTTATTACTGTGGAAAACATCCACTCATTATGGTGGTCACAAAAGAAGTGAAACTACAACATTACACAGACCTGCACGTCTAGCATGCACTAAATACTGTATATTCTTGACATTATATCACATACTCATTAACATGGAGCCGCCTGGATCAAATCTGTTAACTGACCCTGTTGACTAACTCATAGGTCACTGATGAAGTCATCAGAAAGCAGTTCCAAGGTACCAGTCATCATGTGGTGTGGTCACCCTTGGTCTGCCCGTTCTAGGCCTGTCTGACGACTGCACTGTCTGCCTGTAATGTTGCATCAAGTTTGTTACATTAACACAGAAACAACCACATGTTCTTGCCATGTAGTCATAAGTGGTTCAATTCGTACCATTCCCAGAGCTTGCTCATGTTGTTGTTGTGTCAGTCGTGGCATTATTCTTGTGATTTATTATTGTTGTGTAAGCTCGGCATGCCATTCAACCTTTATTTATATCTTCAGTGCAAGTGCATTTTTGTGTATTTAAGGAGCACATGTTTTTCAACTTGCCATATATTTTTGTTGAAATTCACTTTCAAAGTGGTAAAATTTCTTTTGGCCTAGAGTTTATATCTTCTAGTGAAAGGAAGAATGTCAGAGTACAAACATCACAGACATATAGGAACTTAAAGAAAGAAAATTTGAAATTGAGGAACAAATCCAAGCCAGCCTCATTTTTGGAGATGAAAGGTCATAGAGACACCACTTAAATGAAGCTGTGTGATTGACAAAAATATAAATATATGGTCCAACATTTCCATATGACTACATACTACACCCAAGTATTATAAATGTGTTATGTGATGACAAAATGTTAACAATGATCACAATCAATCGGTTATTAATAATGGAATATCAAGTAACTTTAAAAGTGTTCATTTTAAATAGGAATTATCGATCAGGATTTTTATGAAAAAGTAATTTTCAATAATTGCAATGTTGGAGTAATTGCTTTTGGTTTGATAAAATACAGAGATGAGGGTTGCAGATTTGAATTCAGTGCATATTAAAGAAAATTAGTCAATGACCAAATCACCAATTGTTTGTTCACACAGCTAGTAATTGCCCACACAAGTTATTTGTGTGGTAAAATAAATCTTTTTCTATGTTTCAGTGTAATGCATCAGATATTCACCAGTATACAATGTAATGATGTCTTAACACCTATTAAACACGTGATGCATGGTAGAAAACGCCTTAGAATGAGAAAACAAAGATTTCGTAGCATGTACAGAGAAATTCTATTTTTAGTACTGAAAGCATGTGGTAGAGAAAATATTGATCAAGGTATGAAATAGAACTTTTTTTTATAGCCCACCTGAAAAGTAAAGCCACATTCTACAGAAATGTATGTAATAACCCTATTGATAATCAGAAAAATCGAAAAAATATTTAGTAGGAGTTATTGCCCTTGTTCTTGAAATGCTCATTAATACTCTAGAAGGCACAATTCTTGACAGATTTTGACGAAACTTAGTGTGAGTGTTAGTTATCAGCCAAGGATGAACCCTATTGAAAATCAGAAAAATCGAAAAAAATTTGTGTTTGAAAATATGTTAATTGTAATCACCCAAGGATGAACCTTTGAAAAAATTCACTGAGTAATTGCCTTTGTTCTTGGAAACACATTCAATTTATAGCTTGTTTTAAGGCTTGATTCATGCCGGATTTTCACAAAACTAATTTGTTTTGTCCATTATCACCCATGGATGATCTTTTAAACATAAAAAATTGAGAACTATTTTATATGAGTTATTTAGGTCAATCTTGAAAACGCATTAAAATTTTAGCTCGTAAACACTGAAAGGCTTGATTTAATGCCGGATTTTGACTACATGGTAATATTAAACAGTATCACCCCGAAAAGAAGTGTATGACTGAAGGTGGAATATTTAATAATGGTGATTGTTACTCTACTGCTAGATATTTTTGATTAAAATCAAAGCTGCCAGTGGGCATATATTACCTTGCCTGGAAAGCTATCTTAACATTTATTTTAACTCTTTGAGAAAGTGTGTTTTTAGACACACGAAACGTATGGAGAAATAAATGGTTTATTTTGACACATTATGGTGTTAAAAGTATATTGTAATCCCCCGACTGTTCCTTCATCCCTCCAAGTCATGTTTGCTTGTCAACACAAAGAGACAAGAACAGTTTTGATGAAACTTTGTATGATCAGATGAGACCTTGGATGAGTTAAATTTTTGATGGAAATATTTTGAGTTATTGCCCTTGTTCAAAATACACCAAAATCGCTTTTGAAACATGAAAGACTTCAGTATTTTATTTTGCTATTGTTACACTCTGCTGGTAGGTATGGTGCCCTGTGAAACTATTTTACAATCTGATAAATCTGAAACCATATGTTGTTCTACACAGTCCACTCTATTTCATTAATCTGAGAACATGTGTACTTCAAAGATTGTAGAATAAATTAGGCCACAAAAAAAAGCAAAACAAAACAAAATTTTTTGATCAGATTGATATATATTTGAAGAAATGAAACTATAATAAGCTACATGTATTCAGCTGATTTGTTGGTTCAGTTAATTTACTATTTTTTAAATTATATTTCAGATGCATTTGATAGAGAATACCTTAAAGCCTTTGATCAGCTTCATCATGGTGAAAAACGTCACCTCCAGACAAATGATAGACCCTGTACTGATCATGTAGTTTGGTGTCGTCGTGTGTTTAATGAACTCAAATTGTAGGAAAATATCTAAATTTTTAGGTTGACATTCAAAGACAACAATGAAAGCTGCATACAAACATACATACTTTGGATAATGTTTTCCTGAAAACATATCTTTAGGGAGAACAAACACAATTGAAATAGAATAGACCTATCATAACAAAACTAAATAGCATTGTCTTCTCAAGCACATTTTAGTAGAGAAGTATATGTGTGTTGTTGGTTCTTTCATCAACACTGTTTTTTTTTTATCCATTTAAAGAAGTGTGGATACCATATAAGCAACAGTTCATGATTAGATGTTGACTTATTAGTTCAGTTACAATATTTAGTATAGGCCGATTTGTCTAAATTAACATAAATGCATATTGTATGAATGACTTTTAAATTCTAAAAAGATGTTCTTACAAAAGAACAATACAGTAATTCATTTTTTTTTTTTAATGTTTTAGATGAACTGCTAACACAGTGTATATACATAGTTATGACAATATGTAAATAGATGATAAATGTAATGCATACATATTTTAGAAATAACACCAAATGTTAAAGTAGTAATAAAATACACTTTTCTGCTTTGAAGGAAATATTAAAATCCTGACGTATTTTCTACCTGGTCTGCCAAGCTTTCTTCATATGTTTTATTAAGGTTTATTAATTAATGTAAATTCATTTATATAGTGGGTATTTGTCCTCCAAAGCATTTTGTTGAGATGTAAAATTTGTATCAAGCTGCTTTGATTTTACTTCAGATTGTAATTTAATTAGTTGCTAATTATGTTGGATAAATTTAGATGTTTATGTACCCTCTTTCAAAACCTTTGTTTATTAATCGCTCTTAAATCAGTACTAAAGGCTTTTTTTTTATTGCATGGGGATATATGTATTTATGAATTGGATAGTTCATTAAAAAATCAACAAAAATTGAATGCCTTTACAATCGATAACGTGAAACTCAATTTTGAGAATAGTTGACAATTTTGCTAGTGCATACTGTTTTGGAGTTGATAAAAATTGTTTAGTGATGAGGTTTTGGTTTACTATTTTTTTGATGAATCAATAAATGATGTATATTATGCATTGTGTTTCCTTTTATCTGCATTACACTATATTGACAGAATATTCAGATTGAAAAGTCTATAATTGCATTGACAGAATATTCAGGTTGAAAAGACTGAAACTGTTTACAAGAAATATTCACATTGAAAAGTCTGCATTTTTTATTTATGAATGAATATCTCCTTGGAGAGGTTAACAATTTTCGAACTGTGTAAGCGCCAATACTTCCCTCTAACGCGTTAGGTAATTGGTGTATTCTTTTGTTGGGTCAGAATAATCAAACTATACAAATATTTGTAAAATTTGTTAATGCAAAAGTTGGAAAAAATAAAGATAGTGTTCCACTTCTACCAAATGTGCCAAATATAAAAGCCTGTACATTTGGGAGAATCAAACCCTCCCTTCCCTGAAATCCAAATATAGTTCAAAAGGCAACGTTTTACTCGGGAGGTGATTTCAATGCTAGAGCTTCCAATCTAAATGACATATTAGTTTCCGATACCGAATCATCTTCTCATTTTGATAAACCTTTCCCTCAAGTGTTACAACATATCCATGAAAACAAATTTTTTGCCTCGAAGAACAATCAGGATAAAAAGAACAACACATGGGGTAAAGAACTTATTCAATTATGTAATATGCCAATATTTGTATTCTGAATGGTAGGTGTATTGGGGACATGTTGGGGGCAAATACATGTATCAATACCCAACGTTCTAGCACAGTAGATTATGTCTTACCTCTCTCATTTTCGTCACGTGCGAAGTAAAAATATCTCCTCTCGGCTACTTATCTGATTGTCTCTCTCGTCGTGTATGTTACTGATCCCTGACACATTGATGGTAGATAATAATATCGTTCAAATACAACAAGGTCGTAATAATAATAATGATAACAATAATAAAAAGAATAAAGACAAACCACCGTTCAGTATGAACAACATGAAATTTAATCATTGATAATCTTTCTGGAAAAACTCGAACACTTAAAAAACAAAACCGAATTTCGCGATTTTGTTATCAAAGCCGATGAGAATGCCTCTGAAGGCATCCAAGCAGCAACAAATTGTATAACCGATTTTATTGTAGATACTAGATACTTCTAAATCTTGTCATAAACTTGCCAAAAAGAAAAACAAATGCTTTAATAAAGATTGCTCTCGTCTAAAAAGAGATATGATCAATGCTCTACGTGTTTTCAATCAAAATCCATCAAACGTTCATTCTAAATCTATTTATTTCAACCGTACAAAAAGAATATAAGAAAATAACAAAAAATAAAATGAGACAATCCAAGAATAATAAACTAGTGTCCAAAAGAAACGATACCAACTTATTTTCAAAATTGTTTTTTACTAAGTGAATTGTCTAATATGAAAACACGCCAATTCGTATTGCACATCCCAAACACAGCATAGTCGATAAAAAATACCGCGAACACGTGATCACTTCCGGGAAAAAACGTAAATTTCATGAAAGTGTTCTGCACGTGCATAAAAACTGTATAAAACAGCTGATCAGACACGTTGATATCACAGCAACAAAAAGAACACAAGATATGCCACGTTTGACAGCCATCGAGAGAGAGAGAGAGAGAGAGAGCCGTTGGAATGGTCCAACAAGGAGCGACACACGTCGACGTCGCCAGAAGGTTGGGCTGCGCACGCATCACTATCACCAGGTTGATGCAGCGGTTACGCCCCGTGAAGATCGTTATATTCGGGTATTACACCTGAGGAACCGCACCGTAACAGCGACGTTCACGGCGGCTACAGCACTGGGACACAGGATCAGTCGACAGACCGTCTACAGGAGACTACGGCAGTATGGTATCCGGCCACGTCATCCCTACCGCGGACCGCTCCTGACGCCTCGACACCGGAACAACAGACTGATCTGGGCCAGGCCAGTTCGACGTTGGCAACGGCGGGACTGGGCACGTGTTATGTTCTCTGATGAGAGCAGATTCCTCATCTTCAAAAACGATGGACGGCAGCTTGTATACCGACGAATTGGTGAACGTTTGGCGCCTAACTGTATCCAACAGGTCCGGCCGTTTGGAGGTGGAGGGTTAATGGTTTGGGGTGGCATATGTGGTGACGTCAAAACGAGGCTTGTCGTAATTCGTGGAAACCTGAATGCACAACGTTATATTGATGACATCCTACGGCCTGTTGTGGTTCCCTTTATTCAGCAACAGCCTCGTGGACTCCTTTTCCAACATGACAATGCAAGGCCACACACAGCAAGATTGACACAGAACTTCCTTGTCAACGCCAACGTACAGGTTCACCGGACATGAATCCCATCGAGCACTTATGGGACCACCTCGATCGGCAAATCCGACGTCGCCGTGTGCCTCCAGTCAACGTCCAGGACTTGAAACGATATCTCCTCGAGGAATGGCAACGCATCACTCCCAACGTCATCATACGTTTGACGGCATCAGTCCGTAGGCGTGTTCTGGCATGTATTGATGCTCACGGTGGACATACCCGCTACTGACTTGACTTTGTGACGTGTGGTGTGACATTTCCCGTTGTTTCTGTGATCAGTGCTATAACGAAATGTTCTTTTTTCGACTCCACCCATCTTTAAAGGCTTGTCATATTGGTTGTACAGATTTTATTGAAATGAAATTTTTGTACAGATGTGAAAGGATTTCTCAAAAGCATAACACCAATCCTAAACTTCTGCATTGTTTAGTTTTTCTTTTATGTCGTTGCAAACAGGTGGTATCGTTTCTTTTGGACACTAGTTTATTTTAAATAAATTAGTAAACTGGTAAATTCCTTATTAAAAACCGACTGACTCAGATTCGGTCCATAACAACATTCCACTAAATAAATGGCAAAGTCACTTCATAAAACTATAAAATCGATAAAAAAAAATTGAAAGTTTGAATTCAAAAGTAATGCCAAATATGGAATTAAATAAAGAAATAAGTTAAAGTGAAAGTATTTACTATAAAAATAAAAAAAATTGAAAATAATATAACATTAACATTAAATTTTATATAAACGGGAATTAAAATCATAGATGATCATTTGTTTGAATTTTGTTTGTTTATTTATGATTTTACATTCTTGAACTCAGTGTTCATGCATTCTTACATGAGATGTTCTTTAATTATGAATACTTTTAAGATTTGAGACATCGGGTTCACCCGCTTAACGAAATGCTCGTGCCAATACGTTAAGAAATTAATATATAAAGATAGACATATTACATTTATATTTATCAAACATAATCATGATTAATTTTACACCACAGGAAATTCAAATTTTAATCGACGAAGTAGAGAAGAACAAATCCGTACTATTTAGCAGACTAAGTTATACAGTTACTAACAGTTCTAAAAAGAGAGCACGAGATGCTACATGTTCGAAGGTGAAAGCAGTCAATGATACAGATCATCTTCGAACTGTAGAAGAAATACGGAAATTATGGGTTATTTCTATCTCGAAATACTCTGTTTCGGCGTACGTTTTCAACTCATTGTCGAATGTGCATGTAAACAGCAGCCATATTCTTTTCTTCACGTGATACCGAAGCTTTTAAGTTAATCATAGGACCATCCTTACTTATATGATGATCATAAGATATCAGAAGTCAGGTGTCTCAAGATTATGATATAAGTTATTATATATATTTTTATTTTACACATACATATTACACATTTTACATTATCATACAGAACATATATAAAGGTAGGGTTTCAATCCTACATCCAACAAATTTAACTTCAGATATCATAATCTCATATCATCTCTGTCGGTCAAAGTGTGTGGACGTGTTCAAAAGAGTGTCTGAGAACGAATGATCCTTGACGAAGTTGTCTTTAAAAATATCCCAAGTGATACTGCGCTCGATGTGACAAGGTGATGGTTTAGTATTGGGGAAAAAGATTATCATCCTTCTACATCAACATGCAACAAAATCCTACTACCCAATACTCACCCAATACTAAACAACCGGTAAAAGCGTGAAATAAAGAAAAGAAAAAGGGGGTCCATACATCATTTATTACATGTTCTAAATACAAAGATAGCTTACCAGGCAAGGTAATATACGCCCACTGGCAGCTTTGATTTTGAACATAAATATTTAGCAGTACAGTAACAATCACCAGTATGAAATATTCAACCTTAAATCATACACTTCTTTTGAACTCTTTAGCACAACACTGAATAATATTGAGTATGAGTTATTGCCCTAGTTCTTGAATACGTGTTCAATCTTTAGCTCGTGAAAACTCTAGAAGGCAAATATTCAATCTTCAGGACTGAATAATAAAACCAAGTTTTGTCAAAATCCAGAAAGAATCATGCCTTTTAGTGTTTTAATTAGTAGTGTGATAAATGAAAGCACTCGCTTTAAGCCCGAATGGTATAACATTAAAAACAAAATACCAATCCGCAAACTGAAAGCCAAAATATGTGCGAGGCGTAGGGTGCAGTAAAACATGGTCATATCCGGATTTGTCGTCTAAAGAACACATGAAAGAATTTCTACCTATTAATCGAGGTACATCCTTCAAGCTGAAACGGACAATCATTAACCAAAGGTTAAAAAATCTTTCATCATGACATAAACGTGGTTTAGTTGGCTCTACCGTCAAAGGCAAAACCAGACGTGGAGGGAAACATTTCCCAACCTTCTCTAATACAGAAATAGAACTATTAGCCACCCTCTCAGTTAAGGCATCAATAATAAAAGGGTAAAACTGTTCGCGGTTGGCAGCATTTGGAAAAAACGAGACCGGGGGAGACTCGGATTTGTATGATCTGCCTTTAAAATTCCCTACAAATCTATTGAAAAAATTTGATACATTAACGCAGTCCTTCAACCAAGATAAAACTCGTTGATCAGACGTTATCTTCTCCAACATGTATGCAAACTCAGCCCGTTCAAACACTTGCTCAGCCAGAACCTCGTGGGAGGAGGAAAAGGATGCCTCACCCCTGTAGTTAACGCAAACATGTGACTCTCGAATTTGAATAGTAGAAAAATCAGTAATATGCAAGACGTCTTCAAAAGACTGGAAACAAGAAGAGACAAATAGGAAACTACAGAGAGAAACACCCAGTCCCCAACCCACGTGAAACAAATCACTAGAGGTTAGATCCCTGAGTCGAGGCCAAGGCAAGAAATACATTCAAAGATCAATTAAAGCCTACACCAATAAACCAAAGCCCAATTAATAAATTCACTTATTATTTCCCAATTTAGGGCAATTCCTTTACAGTAATAGCATGTAAAATTGAACCTGGGGCCATCGCGCCCCCTCCCACGCCCCTACCGCCTCTAAAAGGATTGAAAGAAGGGTATGTGACGGAGAATAACCAAATGAATGTGGGGGAGCAAAAGGATAATACTCGTAAAAGGTAGCAGGACCCTCATATTTTTTTACTTTTTGTTACCACAGAGGCAATCTTCTTGTCTTCCGTAGAGCCAAAAAGCTTCCGCGCCCTCATATTTCCTGCAATACGTGAGGGACTTGATATAATAATCCAAATCCTTGTGAGAGGTCAGCAACTTCCATGACAGACTCAATAGCAGCGATAAGCATTTGTGAGGCGGTCAGTTGCGGTCTACTTCCTAGGACTCTAAGGTATCATAAAACCTCCTCTACCTGGTTCTCCGACTTGCTCGAATCTATCTTGGACAATTTACTCTCCATAATTTTGAGGCGTTCATCTATTAAAGATATGACTCGACTAATTAAGAAATCAAAAATAATACTATTCCTCAAAGATATGACATGATTCACTCAATAATTTTTAGAAAATCAAAAACCTGTATTAACTGACTACTATATAAATCGCAAACTCAACCTCATTACATAACCATTCCTCGACACTTGAAAAAGGATAATATTTCAAAAACCGGTTCGTGTCAATTGCGTAAGTTTTTGTTTTACTTGTTATAATTTTTCACATCATTGTTAGCGTTATTTATCACCTAAATATATATCTTTGCATTTTTCATCATAACTATCATCTTACTTTATATCCCACTATATAAGAGCCTTCAAGAGAAATTCCCCCCACGACTATAAGCAGAAAATGATAGTTGCATATTCAAAAAATAAGAACTTAAATGATAATATTGTTCATAGTAAACTAAAAACAATCAGTACATAATAGATACTATACTTCTCGACCATCGGGCGAGTTATTTTTTCTAATTTCAGATCAGAATCAGAACAGAAGAAAACCCAATATCAAGACACTTAATCCTAATTTCTAAATAAAGTGTCTGCTCCACCCTAGGCCTGTACATTTGGGGGAATCAAACCTTTCCTTCCCCGAAATCTCATTATACCGCATAAGTAACTGAAAGGGCAACTGCGAACCAAACATTCCAAACTCCATAATGGTATGCAACCATATAGCATAGAAAAAGAAAAGAAAAAATAAAGGATAAAATAGCGTATGCTCAAACACACCAACCTGCAGGATTTGAAGAACCACTGGGTTCCGTCAAAGCTTGGCCTTTTGGAGCACACACCAGATTTGCTTGCAGAATGCTGAAATGAAGCAACAGCCTAGCAGCTTTTAAATCATCTGGTTGCCCGGTTAATAATATAACATCTTTAATTGTTTTCCCGGTCAGCTTCTGAAACTCCGAATGCAACTCATTGAGTGAATAATTGGATGGTCCTTCTTTAATCTGGCTAGTATGAAATCATCTGACTCTCTAACCACTTTGAACTGCATGATTATTGGGATTCACTATTTCCCCATTAAAGAATGCTTCGTTTTAAGTACTGCATATGCCATTACCTACCATAAAAGAAAAACAAACAAAAAATAAAATAATACTTCATATCAAAATCTTCCTTCATAACCAATTTTTTAACTCATTCCTTTATATCAAAATATTACTACATGTCAAACTCTTTACTTCATATCACAATCTCACGTCATTTCTTTTATATCAAAAATTTACTTCATCAAAATCTTACTTCATTTCAAAATCTTTACTTTATTTCAAAAACTTTAACTTCACATCAAAATCTTTACTTTTATATCAAACGCTTTACTCAATATTAAAACTTTACTTCATATACAAATATTTAATTCATATGAAACTCTTTATCTCATAACAAAATTTTCTTCATATTACAAGCTTTACTTCAAATCTTAACCTCAATTAAACAAATTTACTTCATATCAAAACCTTTACTTCATTACTTCATATCAAAATCTGTACTTCACCAAAAAGCCTTACTTCATATCAAAATCTTTACTTCACAAAAAAGCCTTACTTCATATCAAAATCTTTACTTCATATCAAAACTTTACTTCATATAAAAGCATTACTTCATATCAAAATCTTTACTCAATATTAAAACTTTACTTCATAAACTTTACCCAGTATTAAAACTTTACAATGCTAATTACGATTTCACTGATATATCGAATATCGGTTGGTCTGTAGTGGACTACAGTCTGGTACCTTACGAAAATGTTGGCCAATTATCAGAATTCAAAGTGAGAATCTGCTGCAAGAGTCACAGTGCTTAGATATATTGGACTCCAGTTCTAAAGACCCAGATCATTCTGTGATCACTTGGAATATTAAATTGATAAATGACCCAACAGATACAGAAGATAGAAATGGCTTCAAAAATAGGTTTAACGAAATATAACTTGAAGAATATTAAGGACAATTTCGCCGAGGACAGCGTAAAACTAAAATGTGTAAGGGACAAAATATACGAACTGGAATGTAAGTCAGTTTCTCAGCAATGTTTAGACCAATTATATAATAAATTCGTTGAAGATATAAAAAGTGAAATGGATCTCAAATTTGCGCCAAAAAATGTAGTCATGGACAGTCGTAACAAAAAACCACGACGAAAAGCTAAACCCTAGGCCTATACTGGAATGATGTTTGTGTGTCAGAAAAACAGTGGTTAAGGGACAAGTCAGTAAATAAGAATACATGTATATCTTTTGACAGTAATAAAAACCAAACGTAAACTTTTTGGTAAAGAAGTGCGGAAGGCGAAGCGACAACATTGGTACAGGGAACAAAATAATCTTCAAGAGCTTACTTCAAAGAACCGTCCCGATCTCTGGGAAGAATTTGGTAAAATTGGCATAGGGGCGAAGCGAACATCCATTCCCATGGAAATAATTAATGAAAATGGTGATATAAGTGACAATGTGGATCAGATATGACAAAAGTGAGAGAATGATTTCAAGAACCTTCTCAACGCTAAGGACATTAACGGTAGTAACAGACATGATAACAGTGGTAGTGAATTTAACAAATTAAGTGTTTGACATGATATCATAACTAAATGCAGATATAAGTTTAATCCAGGTGCAAACCGCTTAAAAAAGTGCCAAGGACAATAAAGCCTCAAGGTGTGATAACACCCTTCGGAAGTTTTAAAAAACCACATTCCTAAATCATCTACCAAAGATCCCCGTGATCCCTTGAGCTACAGAGGTATCTCGCTAGCCCCGTCGTCAATATAAACTTTACTGTTCTATTTTAAATGAGAGACTCGACAAATTTGTTAATGAATTAGACCTGGTTTATGATAATCATGGGTTTCGGAAAAACCGAAGTACAGTGACATCCGACCATATTATCTCCCTTTCAACTATCATAGAAACAAGAAAGTCAATGCGGCAACCCACTTTTGCGGCATTCATTGATTTCAAAACTGCATTGATTGAGATACTTCATAGAGTGGTCATGGTCGAAATAAACCAAGAACTTATAAGACCATGAAACAAACGTATGGTACCGAAAACTATGTTAAATTGTCCATCCTCGTGTCCCATAGAAGTGCTTTAGCTCCCTTGAGATTGAAACAGGGCGATACGAATGTATCCCAGTTGAAAATAGGTTATGTTTATTTTGTAAAGACCAGATCGAAAACGAGGAGCATTGTTTAATCTCCTGTGGCCTTTATCATGAAATAAGAGATGAACTTTTTAATTTTTTGTTAATATCGTATAATTACTTTATAATTTACAAAATGATGAGAAATTGTCTGTAATCTTAGCCGATGGAAAAGTAGCAAGAAAAAGTGCCAGAGTCTGTTATGAAATATCGATCTGGTTAACACAAATCCACGTGTAGTCGGGATTGCAATTCAATCTCATAAGTTTCACCCATCCTTTTTCTTCTTTCTCCCAACAACGGGTACGATGACATTACCGGCATCTGTTTCCACTGCCTGTGTACTATCTAATTGATCAGCCGTATCTTTCTCCCACATAACCTGTAGGCTCCAAGACCAAAAACTCAGCAAATTTTCCAAATAAGCTCTGTAGGGATAATTGGTTAAAGAAGCGGTCACCAACGTATCTGAATCTTTTCCAAGGCGCATTTTCACATCTTTAAGGGCAAGGTAAAACTTGTAATTTGGCAAACCCAAGACACATTCTAAAAAGTTCCCTTTATATGCAAACCATGACACAATGGTTACGTGATGTTTTTTACGGGTAATAGTGTGCTCCTTTCGGAAATCATCCTTTATTTGTATATATTGATAATCAAATTGACAAATATTTTTTCGGAAGGCTAATGTACCAAATTGTGCACCTAACTTTAATGTATACATAGGCAACTTTTAGATTACGTGTATATTTTAAATTTCATAAATTTTAGAGCAGGAATAGACCTATCACTTTAAAGATACGCATACGCTGGGAATATAGTTCATCGTTTATATATTTGTATTGACAGATTCTTAATTGTTTCATCTTTACTGTTGATTTCTATTTCTATTCTTTGGTTTCATATATCATATTATATAAAAAAAAAGTTACAGAAATTGTCTTTTCTGAGAATGGCGTAATTTTACATGTGAAACGGACACGAAGGGTGATGGAGGTTGAACCGAGTGTGCACGAAATGTTTTATAATGTTTATCTTCGATTTACAAAACCAACAAGTATTATTATCGGAATCTACTGACATCGAATGAACAATAACACACATTTTCAGGTAAATTGGTTGATTGACAAACTTGCGTTTGTGTTTTATCTGCATTTCGAAGTAGGTTTGTTTAGTTTGAGAATCCGCCGTTTGTTTACAACGTTATGCATGGATGATAAACATGTTGAATTGTGACTCTATCTCAATGTATTTTGATAAAATAAGACTTGACTGTTGCAGTGGGATTATGTGGAAGTAAGTTTGAAGGTTGTCAGTTATATCATTATCATTATCTATGGGAGTTAGTTTGGAATTTTGTTATATTTTGACTGAGAAAATTTGGGGTCATCAAGGGCACATTGAAATTTAAAGGAATTGCTTCCTATAATTTTGATTTAAATGTTATTCTGCTCATTTTGGAAATTTGTATCCATGGACCCCATGTCAAGCTTTGAAATAAATTTTGTTAAAATTTTCAACATATTTCAAAATAGCTGAGGTTTACCTTGTCCTGAAACAAAGAGCGAAAGAGATTGTTTATCGGTCTAATTTTTTTTTATCAGCATCAATATTCGTCCCATCTTCTTTGATGACTTTCAATTTTAGTTACAAACTAATGTTGGCCAAGTCGATGAAATCCGTACTTGAATTAAAAATTCCAATGGACCATCGTGGTTCAGATCGCTGGTCAATGGATATTTGCGGACTTCGGTCGCGTTTGATGACGGCTGTTAGAGTGTCAGGAACGGTAAAGAGTTGTTGTAGTTCATCTGGAGCACAGGGACAGGAATCATAACGCATGAAGTCATTATCGAAGATATCTCTCTTTCTTCTCTGTCCTTTGATGTTGACAGAACGAGCTGCAGATGGTTTTATCCAATTTCGAGGCCGGTCTTGTATACCCCCGACGACATTCTTCAAACTTTCCGACAACGTGGATTTCAAAGCAGGTTTGACGGCATCTCGTAGAATATTTTCAGTCCTCGACTTACGTTTTCTTTGCCTCGGACAATTTTCATCACCTCCTTTCCAACCTGGGGGAGATTATCTTTTATTGCCTGTTTACCAGCACTCCATAAAGATTTGCTGTCACAGCACCTTTTTTTGACCATGTTCATGAATCAGGACAAAAATCCAGACCCCCGTTGTCTGAGCACACCTCCACGATACACTCAAATGTTACCTCTGCTCAACAACGTCATTTTTTCTTTCTGAAGTGAAGTTTGGCCACCACTTTTCCTCGCACAAATGTTACGGGTCTCCCTGTCCGGTCCTTATATACATGCCGATGGCCGCTAGGCGATCGTACTCGATCAGTACGTAATGTATTGCCGATGGGCGAAAGTATCATGATTTGCTGTGAAAAACGTCAAAGATCGGAGTCACCACATCACCCACACGTTGCGGTTCCACAACATCCGAATACAATTAAAACATCAAAAGCCATAATGTGGATATTATCCATATCTTTTAGGCTTGTTTTTTCTCCTGTCCGCAAAGGGCACTCTTGGAACCAATGTCCTTTTTCTCCACAATGATAACATTCTCCATAGCCTCTTTTCTTCTTCAGGGCAGGTGGAAAACCTTATATCTACAGATGTTTGTCTATTTTTCAAATATTTACCCTACGTTATACGAACATTGCGATTTTGTTACCTTGAGGGAATAAGAAGGGAAAAGAACACGCTTCATTTGATTTATTCATCAAAATTCAGTGGGCCAACCAGGGGCCAACATTATTGTCAATTTTGAATCCTTTCATTTAGAAATGTCAACAGACTGTACGAAAGTCTATGATGGTGATAGTGAAGTATCAAGATTGGTAGCCAAGTATTGTGGTAAAGATTTACCATCTAGTGTTATAGCTACAGTCAATAAAATGTTCATCAAGTTTCATTCCGATCGGAGTGTCCGAGGCAAAGACATCATATTACAGTATCTTCAAATGACACCAGGTAAGGCAAGTTTAGATCTTTCTTAGGGAGCATAAATTAGAACACAGTATTGTATCGAATTAAAAAAAACCTTCAAAATTATTCTTTATTTAGCTCCAGATAACCTTGCGAGATCGTAAACTTTCATTCATGAAAAAAGTGCTCTTTTGCAGGAAGATCTCTATAGGGACATTCCGCTTTTTTGTAATTGTCAAAAACGTTGTACATTATACCTGAAAATATTTCTAAAATATGGTATTTATATCTATGTATCTATTTGATCAAACTGAATTTGTTTCAAAAGGGTTAATTAAAAATGGGGAGTACTATTTTTGGTGTTTAGCTTTATTATAGCGTGATATGATTAGTTGAAACCTTTCAACATGAGACATATTTCTCTACAATTAGGCGTTTATTTTACTGAAATCCATACAGTATTTTTCTGATAACTTCCAAAAAGCATAACGAAATTTATAGAGTTTTGGCGATAAAAAATTAACGGCTGGATTTTTTTAGTTGAAACTTTCAGATACGTTAAAGGACACATTTCTCTGCATTTTGGTGAGTAGTTTTCACAAATTTGAGCAAAATTTTATTTCGACGTTAAAGTGATACTACGTAAGTATGTATCCCACACTTTATCAAGTTTGAAAAAGCGACAATAAAACTATAATCAAAATTTTTATAAAAAGTGAGCAAGCGACAAGTCCGTTAAGTTTGAGAAAAAAAAAAGCCTGGGTAATCAACGCTTTAACAGGAAACAATCATCTTCTGGTGTATACAAATAAACTTTTTTCAATGATTAATATTCGTTGAAAATTGTGTTTGTGGTGGAATATTCATTCTAAATTATATGAATTGCTTTTTCGCAGAGTTGCCTTATCTTCTACGAGGCATTATTATGTCGAGGTCAATTCAAGAGTAGAGGTCAAGGACGCGGGAAACCCCACTTGAGAGTAACTTCCCCTTGAAAATTATACCGGATTTCCTAGACTCACGATTTGAAAATCGCTTAATGGATATATCAAGCGTTTTATAATTAATTACTTGATTTTGTGGATATATCAGATTATAGAGGTATTTTAATTAGGTATAGTTAGGACACCAGATAAGTCCACTGATGGATATATACTGTTATTGGCCAATTTTGAGCAAAATTAGAATTTTATGTTCATCCTAAGACGTAGTATCCCTTTAAAAGAGCGGAATGTCCTTTTAAGGTCTGACAAAACAGACTTCGTTCTTATTCATTTATACAGCATATATAAGTTTTTGCCACTGCCAGATTATTTGGTCGAAATGTAGAATTGAAAATAACCAAATCCAGAACACACCATCAAGGTCTTTCAAGAAAAATATCAAGGGTGATCAAAATTAAAGATATGAGTTTGTTCTGCTTCTTCCCGATCATTATGATGTTGTGTGATTTGTCTCTTTTTAAAGGGTCAGGTTCGCCATCCGTTTAATCAATCCTCCCTCATCTCAGAAACGAGAATATTTCTAGCTAAGCTAATAGTAAAAGTGTTCACAGCTCACTGTCGAAATTCCATGACATGGAGTCTTCAAATCCATGTGTGTCCAGAATTATCTAGGTTTCAAATGATGGCTTTTCTTGAGACTGTGTCAGATATAGACTATTCACATATTTTCAAAACCACGAAAATGACGAATCTGCACCTTTAATTGAAATTATCATGTAACAACTAATATAGTTGGAATAGCAGTATGCAAATCAAAATATCATCCTTCGTACCCTCCCATATCACTCATATCAATATATCATATCGCAGATCAGGAACAAAGAAAAAATTAAGTATCCAAAAAATAAATATATTCTTCCCAAACTTAACAATTATAAAAATAGCAAGATAGTGTGAAAATCCAATAAGGGTCAATAAAATATTGCATAGTAGTATGAGATCTTAGTTTTCAGTCAGTCCATAGATCCAGTTTATTTTTCACTATTTGGTTGGATCTTGCTGTTACGGCAAATTAAAAATGGTCTGGTTAAAACATTTTTAATGGCTTTTAATGCTCTTCTAAATCCAGCTCTGCACCGTTGTGATCTTGATGGTTTGACTGCAATAAGAAACATAATTTTTGTTCATACACATAAGATGTTAGTTGAAAAAAAAGCGTTGATGCATTTCCACTGATTTCGTAAGGAAAATAACTTGAATTTCTTGAAGATTCCCAAATTTGTTTAACCAGTTTCGATAATTTATGAAATGAATTCTTTTCTCTGGCAACCGTAGCAAAGCATTTAATATTTTTGAAATAGTTTGCATTGCTGAAAAGATGACAATGAAATTATATTGAATTCAAGGCAGCACCCAGAGAATATGTTATCATACCTTTTAATAAATAGCCAAATTTAAATGGGTTTTTGTAATCAGAAATTTCTTTAGATGATTCCGTAGTTGTCAGTTTAAATTGACCATCAACAAAGCCAAGTTGTAGTAGTAAATCATCATACATTTTACTGACAATATCATCATCTAGACCTTCCGTTATACCATCTGCTAGTTTACCACAGTCAGGTTTAATAACATCCTTCTTAGCTATAAAACGATAAATATTATAGGCTATGATAAATACTCTGTTAGTTTAATATAGCCAGGTTAAATATCAACCTTCTTACCTATAACATGATAAATATTATATCATAAATACTCTGTTAATTTACTACAAGCAGGTTTAATATCAACCTTCTTACCTATAACATGATACATAAATATTATATTATAAATACTCTGTTAGTTTACTACAGTCAGGTTTAATAACAACCTTCTAAGCTATAAAACGATAAATATTATGGGCTATGATAAATACTCTGTTAGTTTACTATAGCCAGGTTAAATATCAACCTTCTTACCTATAACATGATAAATATTATATCATAAATACTCTGTTAGTTTACTACAAGCAGGTTTAATATCAACCTTCTTACCTATAACATGATAAATATTATATCATAAATACTTTGTTAGTTTACTACAGTCAGGTTTAATATCAACCTTCTTACCTATAACATGATACATAAATATTATATTATAAATACTCTGTTAGTTTACTACAGTCAGGTTTAATAACAACCTTCCAAGCTATAAAACGATAAATATTATAGGCTATGATAAATACTCTGTTAGTTTACTACAGTCAGGTTTAATATCAACCTTCTTACCTATAACATGATCAATATTATAGGCTATGATAAATACTCTGTTAGTTTACTACAGTCAGGTTTGATATCAACCTTCTTACCTATAACATGATACATATTATAATATAAATACTCTGTTAGTTTACTACAGTCAGGTTTAATATCAACCGTCTTACCTATAACATGATACAAATTATAATATAAATACTCTGTTAGTTTACTACAGTCAGGGTTAATATCAACCTTCTTACCTATAACATGATAAATACTCTGTAAGTTTACTAGTCAGATTTAATATCAACCTTCTTACCTATAACATGATAAATATTATATCATAAATACTTGTTAGTTTACTACAGTCAGGTTTAATATCAACCTTCTTACCTATAACATGATACATATTATATCATAAATACTTAGTTAGTTTACTACAGTCAGGTTTAATATCAACCTTCTTACCTATAACATGATAAATACTCTGTAAGTTTACTAGTCAGATTTAATATCAACCTTCTTACCTATAACATGATAAATATTATATCACAAATACTTGTTAGTTTACTACAGTCAGGTTTAATATCAACCTTCTTACCTATAACATGATAAATATTATCTTATAAATACTCTGTTAGTTTACTACAGTCAGGTTTAATATCAACCTTCTTACCTATAACATGATACATAAATATTATATTATAAATACTCTGTTAGTTTACTACAGTCAGGGTTAATATCAACCTACTTACCTATAACAGTATTAATATAATAAAAATACTACATATAATTTATAACAATTTTACCTTTTCTAACTTTGGCACTTCCTTTATCGTCATTAGTATCTTGATCCGCACTAGCCATATAAACTTAGGTTTAGTTTTGAAGGCATCTTGGTAGTTGTAGCCTACAATAATTGAAATAGTATCAAGATTAACACAAATAATTATATATGCAATTGGAGGTTATATTAAGTAGATTATATTAAAAAAAAAACTTGCCTAATCTATATCTTTTGTGTCAATTACAACTTTACAATTAGACACAAAAAGAAAACACTTGATTAGTTATATTAGGTAGATGGTATTGGTGTCGGAATTTAAAAACATGTGTCCAGATTTGCGACCAAATTTTGAGTCTAATCTTTATCTTACGTGCCAACTACATCTTTAAAATAAGACACAAGAAGAAACTTGATTTCCAAAATAGTGTATTAGAAAATAAATCCAAATAAAATCACTAAAGTATTTCTGCATTCTGTGATCAAAGGAAATTTGATGGATTTTCTGTTGAAAGATGTTAAGCATATAGACACATGGAAGCTTTGTTATCTGAAATGTTATTACCATGTTTGAGGTGTTTCAGATCTTCAACAACTCGAGCTCTTGAGTCATCAAGAGTAGAATCAACTTGATAAACCTTGTGATATGATACACAATCATAATCGTCCCTAGGTACCACAACCATTTCTGAAAGCAAATAAAATACATGTTTAAAGTATTTAATGGGATAAAGGTGTGATTTAAAAATAGTTTAAAAATTAATTGGCGAATAAATAAACTGTCTTTCTGAGCGTCAAAAAAAAAAATTAAGATAATGTGGCCATTCATTTAAGGGCATACCTTTTTCAGCGGAAAAACAGTATGATTTCTAATTCTTTTCAGATGTATGACGCGGCAGAGGCGGAACATTACAATTCACCAAAGATGATGTTACAATGATTTCAAATGGTTAATACATAATTTTACCAACTTGTATATTCAATCAAAATTTGAACATTGTAGTTACCTAGTAGATTTATTCATAGGGTTTTCAAATCTTTTGCTTTAGATTGAATTAAAATTTGCCAAATAAAACAACCATATTTCAGTAAGCTTGTAAACACAGAAAATTAATATTCTAATAAGTTTCAGCTAGATTTGTCATTTCTTTTACATTTTCAAATGAAAATTCGAACCGGTGCAGATCATATAAAATATATACTTCATTGATTAATGAAAATGACGAGTTACCTGGAGAGAATGAAGAAAATTCGGCAAAACTTGCAGATAAACTTGTAAACACGTCTTATAGAAAGTAATTTTCTTTGACTTGTTACGTTATTTTATTATGATATGTATTTCAATTGTTTGACGTCATAATGCTCAAATTGAACTTTGACCTACGCCATTAGTTACTTTTTAATAAAATTTTCACCAAAATTTTCGCTGTTTATAAATAACTATTCTTCAAGGAAAGCTCTACTGGTTTAGTAACTAACTATTTAAAATTGACAGGTTCGCCAATCTTTTTACCAATCGTAGCTAATTTTTTAGCTAAGTTAATCAGTTATGGTGTTCACAGTTCCCTTCGAAGTCCGTGTGTGTACAGAATTATCCGCGTTTGCTAGTTGAAATGTCGATTTTTCTGCCATATATTGAAAAGGAAAAATATAAAGAAAAATTTATAGTTGTATAGAAGTATATTTGAAGTGATTATGCTATTTTGATGCAGTTCCAATCCGTACTCAAGAACCAAACAAAAATCGAAAATGGCGAATCATGGCTTTTAAGAAATGATATTAGGAGAGCGGGCGAATACCACGGACGTGGCACATACGCTTGACTGTTGAAAATGACTTCAAAAAATTGGTGAATAATAGTCGCTCTCAAATTATTGTAAACCAAGTAAAAAGATTTGCATCTTGACACTGGAAATTGACAAATTTCCTATAAGTAAAAGTATAATGGCAATAATTCCTAGCTGCTTCTTAAAAACGGATGCCTCCCGCAATGTGTCTTCTTGATACCACTGAATCTTTCAGCAGCTTTTGACACTGTTGACCACCAAATACTTCTAACAATGCTTAGTCAAAAGTTTATATTATATTATATTATATATTATATTATATTATATATTATATATTTAGTTACCTTTAGTGTAATAAAATCGACTTACAGAAATGAATTTTCTTTGACTCGTGACGTTATTTTATTATTTTAATTGTTTGACGTCATAATCATAACGTCAAATTAAATTATTTTCCCCTTCCATGTAAGAGATTTTCACACTATGTGATTAGATTAGTTTTAGTTGGCTTCCAGCCAGCTCTAACGAGGTTAGTTGTCATTTAATGATACCAAATGGCCAATATCAGCTTGATGGTAAGAATGATCAGGTGTTTCCGGAAAATGAAGTTAGCTATATTGCTGTGTGAGGGGTGAAAACTTGTTAACTGAATGTATCCGTTGACTGTGCTAACAATACCAGTTTACCATTGTCAGAAGGATATTGTGGAGCTTAAATCTGAATCAGGAATTCTGACCACTATTGGTTTTACTGGATATACCAACTACATTCCTAATCTGAAATGTCAGTGGCAGATCACAACGACACCAGGCAATCTGAGATCTGGGATGGTTCTTCAGGAAATAGAGCAATACTAGAAAATAATGTGGTATTAGACTACCGAGAGATATAACGATTCATGTTAATAAGGTGTATGTACAATTTGCGTCTGATGGAGCAATTATTGGATTCAATGTACTAAACATAATATGAAAACATTGCTAACCCATTTCATATATTGATTTGATAATGTTACCATATCGTTATTCAAACTGAATATGTTTTGTGGATTCATACAGTTAGTAAATCGTTATTTACAATTAGGTAATTGTAAATATGCCGTTCTGGAATTACTTTTCTCATTTTATTTATTCTTGATAAAGTGAGTTTTAAATAAATCTTTTGATTTATGGACGTTTGTTGTCATAACAGAACGGACAATCTAGAACTGTTGCAACTAAGATATTTATTTGAACTAAATCTAATAGAAAATAAAACCCGGTACATTATAATTATGAGCACGAGTAATTAATTTACAATGCAATTAAAAGAAATTTCAATAAACTGAATGAAAAAAGAGATTTGGGACTCTGTACTTAAAATTAAAATGGTATGAATGTCAAGATAAAAATAATAAACTATTTCATAATTTAGAAAATAAATCAGTGATTCAGAAGCTTAAAGAAGGAAATGGTCAATACGCATTATCAATTATTAATTAATGTACAAATAAACTTTAATATTTATGATTTTCACTCAGTACTAAAATAATATTAATGTTTCCATTGATATGAAAAGTTAATTGAGATTTCTCAGCCTATTTTGAAATACAAGTTAGAGTGTTGGAAATGTGGGCTTGCTAAATTCTTTCAGCTCAGATGTAATATATTATTTAATTTTTTCCAAACGATTTCAAGATAAAACTGAGCCCTCCTTGGTGTTCCATAAGTCTAATTAAATGTCGGTCAAACGACTGAAACCTCTTCTTGAATGAACTCAACTAATGGTCTGAACGAATTCATCCTGATCCACCAGTTCCTAAATATGAAGAATTGTATTAAGAATTGATTTTAACAAAAGTTAATAGATCCACGATTTTATATTCGAATTGTTAAAACTTTTCGGATATTTCATAAGATATATAAAGGGTATAACATGTTCAGTTAGGAATAATGGCTCAACTAAAATATATGTATAAAAGTAATAAAGGCGACCCAATGACTTCAAATCTTTTTTTAACCCGTTGATAGGATCTTTTACTTTTTAATATTCGAAATAACGAAAACAAATAAGGGACATTGATTGGGAAGCCTTTTCATAAGTGAATATAAATCTTTTTTCTTTCTTTAATTTAACCTTTTAGTGACATAGCTGGTTTGTCAATTAATATCCAGAAGTTTTAAATCCCACTTTAATGTTGTAACTTTTGTATACTTGGTAAAATTTAGGTATATTTTTCATATTGGAAGAAATTGGTATTATTATATCTCAATGAAATGCCAGAAATTAAACGGTGAATGATAAAATATTGATCTTAAAACACCTTTCACGCTTTTACAGACCTTTAAACAGAACTCGATTTCGTTAAATCTTCGAATATGTTAAATAATCTTTTTTACAACTCTTTATACAGTACATAGGTATTTAATTAACAGGTAATATGGATAAACAAAAAAAAAATGCACAAATAATAAACAAAGCATTTTCAAGTTATATATCAGCAATACAAAAGACATAATTTAGACTCCTTAATTGCATTAATATCATTTCAAGTAAATGAATAATGGGATTAACTTTATCTTTTCTACGACCCATGAATCAGCCATTAACCCATTTATGCCTGATTTTTCTATTTTCGAAAAATGCTTTTCCATAGAAAGATTGTGTCATGTAAGCCCGTAATATTTTCTATATTTTCAATTCTGACCAAAATTCGTCTCAGAATATGATAGAATTGGTATGTCCCATATATGGGACACTTGGACTGACCGGGTACATGTACGTAAACTATTATGTGGGTGTCATACGAGTTAAAAACAATAATCTACAATTGTATTCAATTTTTGAATAATAAATAAATTTAAGTAAACATGCATTTCATTCAGTAATATAATTAGATTTCAACCAAGCTGGACACATTTTCATAATCGACTTTTCAATATTGGATTGTAATTATGGATAGGCCTACATATAAAAGTCTATAACAAAGCCACCACCAAAGACCTCAGTTTCTAAATCACTACATGAACAGATGATAATGAGGGGTTCAACATGTTTGAAAAATCTCAGAACACCTAACATGCACCCCTGCATCACATTTTTATACGCCCACATGAAATGGGGGGCGTATATTGCCGTCACCTCTTTCCGTCGGTCCGTCCGTCCACAATTGCTCGTAAACACTCTACAAGGCACAATTCTTGACTGATTTCGACGAAACTTGTTATAGTTGTTTGTAATCACCCAAGGATGAACCCTATTGAAAATAAGACGAATCGAAAAATATTTACTATGAGTTATTGCCCTTGATCTTGAAAACTCGTTCAATTTGTAGCTCATAAAAACTCTAGAAGTCATAATTCTTGCTGGATTTTGACAAAACTTGGTTTCATTATTCATTACCGCGCTGAAGATTGAATATTTGTCTTCGAGAGTTTTTACGAGCTAAAGATTGAACACGTATTCAAGAACTAGGGCAATAACTCATACTCAATATTATTCAGTATCGCCCTGAAGAGTTCGAAAGAAGTGTTTGACTGAAGGTTGAATATTTCATTCTGGTGATTGTTACTGTACTGCTAAATATTTATGTTCAAAATCAAAGCTGCCAGTGGGCGTATATTACCTTGATTGGCAAGCTATCTTGTGCACATATGTTTAGTTTTATTACCACAATGTGCGCATCTCAATTGTGTAGCATTTGGTCTAACAAAGTGATTTATACCATCCAATCTAAGAGCATTTGGCACTCTCTTGTGGAGACGTGATGGTCGACCGCGAGCTCTGGCCTGCCTGGAAGATCGTTGAACATGTACGAGCGATAGTTCGTCGGATTTCCAGCAAGTCTAAGGGCTGGTCTTTGCTAACATCTGTAGCCCTGTACCATGCTTGCCGAACACATAGATCAAGACAGTAATTAAAAATGGGCCACCACCATTTCTGCGAACGTATAGCAGAACGATACTGGATTATGTTCTGATCCAAGCGATCAACCACACCCATGGTTTTGTTGTAGTGGAAAATCAGAAATGGCTGTGTAAGTTCAATGGATTTGGGGACTTTTTGACAACTTTTTTACTGTCTGTATTGGATGTATACCGACATAACTTGACACAACATTATCAACATTATTGTCATTTAACCGAACAACAACTAATCCTACAGAAGAATCGTATGCAAAATCAAATGACCCTCTTGCCATTTTACTAACCTTTGAAACAGATTTTAAGGGACAATTTTCAATGCGGTTCGATCTAACCGTACCTGTACATGCTATTCCTTTAGCAGACAGTGTGTCAACAAGTTTCAGGGAGGTAAAGAGATTATCAAAAGTCTAATGGTATGGATAATCATTCCGCAGATTAGATTTTAAGTTGAATATAACGGACCCACCTATCCCTAAACCTGTATACTCCCGTCGACCAAAATTTGTCTAACCTTACTGAACCTGCCATGTGGATCCAGCTGGCTATTGTCACTTCTTTGAAGATCTCTCTGGATCTCATCAAACCTATCTCTGGACATAGCCGATGATATTGCATCATTGTGGATATCTTTGTCATAGGACCAATACATTCGTCTTCGTAGTGTAGCCTGAGATAAGTAAGATCCCAATAAAAGCTTGCATTTCACCTACAGTAGTTGTGAAAGTATGATTACCCTTAGCACATTGGAGTGTTTTGGTTGTAAGCAATTCAAAAACATCTTCATCAAAGAACAATTCGAATAGTTCTACTGGATCTTTAGGTAAATTTGAAAGATCGGTGTCTGGTACATTCCAGTCAAAACGTATAGATTAAGATGATGGTTAATCACGTTTTGACCATTGTCTTGTAGTGGATGGAACAATTTCTTTAGGGCGTTTGGCAGCAGTTGGGGTTTCATCTTCAGATTCACTGAACGAATTATTCTGAACTGAAAATGATGTTCATCATGGAAAAAATGAAATCCTTGATACTTCGAACCACAGACTACAAGAGGATGATAACCATAATGGTGTATGCTGCGAATGTTTACACCTCATATCACTACTAGGCTACTTGTGAAGTTGTTTGATTGATAACTGGGGGTATACCGATGATGCCAGGGATTTTACTGCAACAAAGTACCTCTTCTAAAACGATATTACTTCCATCCTCGCTCATAAGGGTTGCGGATGCAGGTGCATTTAATGGTCGATCACTTAGGTTATCCAAAATCCCAGTCTTATCCTCATCTGCACTATCTTCATCTGTAAGAGGGCCATTTGGTGGAGGCGGTATAGTAATTTCAGCACTGTCGTACTGCTGGTCATCTTCTTCAAGTATGTTAATGACTTCATTCAAAGTAAGGGTCTAAAAATAAACAAACTACATCAAAATATGATCAACAAACAACTATATCCGGTCAGTCCTAGCGTCCCATATATGGGACACAACTTCAATAGCAAAAAAAATATTTATAACCATTGTTATTGTATTGTGCAATTTTTTAGGATATAATTAATATGTTTATAAGAAATGTTTCTCAAAAGACATTTAATAAACTCAACTTTTCAAAGAAGACATTGCTGTGAAAATCTGTGAAATTTCTAGGCAAAATGGCCGACTTACCACATGGTTGGTAAGGGAGACTACTCTAAGCATACTAATATATAACTCTGCTCAAATTGGCGCCAAAATGTGGGCAGATATAACATTTCTTATTGCTAGTTAGAATTTTATGACTAAAAATCCAAATATTTTCATTGTAAATGCATTCACCAAATTATTTACATAAAATAATATGAAATTATTCAAATGCAAATTGTCAGATAACTTATCAATTCCTTCAGACGAAGAATATCTCGACTATAAGAAAGACATGATTAACATCATATATAAAGATATTAGATAAGAATCTATTTCAACAAAAATGGAACTTCAAAGTATCATCAGTAATATTCGATACTTTGTTTGTCTTCTAACTATGACCTCTTACATTCATACATTTAATACTTTCATCATAATTTAAAATATACAAATTAACAAAAATTTGAAAATACATTTTTTGACGTAAAGCCTTAATGCAACTTTGTATATCATGTTTTTATGAGGTAAGTCCTATACTTCCGCTTACGTATTGTAGATATTTCTATACTTCTCATTTTTACAAACTAAATTTTAACTTAGTGCGGACTTATGATTTTTGTATTAGCTGGGATCATAACTTACTAATCTGGACGTGATATACTTGACTATCAAAATTGTTCTATTAAATTTGAGTAAGCTTATATATACATTCAAAACAACTGTTTTCGGATTCTGACATTTGAATACTAGGCCATCGATATGTAGATTGGTTGAAAATATGTGTTTCTTATACCTAATTTATTTTGTTATTTTTATACTATCAATATTTTTTAGCAAAATCAATGTGCACTATGCATTCATTGGAGTTCAGTGATAATCTTTTCTCCTTATAATAAGAAAATTGACATTTAATGTCAAACATATACTTTCTATATCTTATCAGCTGAGTTTCTAATTTATCGATCAGTTCAGAAACATTACCACATTTTATTTTCCTTTTCTGTCAGAGTAACTTTTTTCAAGACCTGTTTCCCATTCTGTTTAATTGAGCGTTCTTCAATTCCAGTACGCCATTCGAACCATACCACTTCTTCTGCTTCAGTTTTCATAATGGTCATTATACATGCAATTTTGATTATCAATATTACAGACACACTATCTTACTAATTCGTCTTTTTTTGAACATAAAATTTTCTTTGTTTTGTAAAGAGAAGAAACTAAAAATTCAGTGTTCGCACATAGTTTGCACAAGCATGTTTCTCTGTCCTCATCTATTGGCGGCCTTACCCAGAATGGTCTTAAACGACCAAAAGTTGTGAAACTTATTTTTTGATTATTTTCAGCTCTAAATTTAAGATATAGATTGAGTCTTGCAAAATGCGTCGTTGTTTTTTCACTTTATTTTTAGTGCATGTGCGTTTTACCAGTGGTTATTCTAGAAACATCACACCTTTCAAAGAAATCTTTAACTTTTTTACATATTCTTTTAGATAGACAGTTTTTAGATGATAGGTGATTTCGGGTAGAAGCGCCACATAGTTTTAAGACCTTGGTATTGAGCTTATATTTCTTCAGAATATACTCTGGCAATCTGTCTTTTTTACCCTTTTTCTTGTAATTGGTATTTATTTGTTTTAAAAGAGCGTGGTTAAATAGCAATGTTCTTCGCACTGTTTTCTTAGAAAAGTTTCTAAGAAGTTTCTTAGTTTTTGAGGGAGGTGAATCCTCATTCGAATCTCTATGTAAAGATTGCACTCTCAACCATCTGTGCTTGTATAAGTCTACTAGTTTTATTTGTTTTCGCAATTCAATTTGTAATAAGGCATTATCCCTATAACACTTTTCTACTTTCTATTCTACTTTTTTCCGCTTTTTGTATTTTGTTGTTCTGAAATATACTTAGGTGAGTTAGGCGGCGTCAAAATGATCTTTTCCAATTTCTTTTTATTCATTCTTTGCTTCCTCTTTTGATCTCTCCATTTTTTTCTAGTTGATCTTTTCTCTCTCTCTGACATATCTACAATACTCTTTATTTTCCCCTTAAGTTTATCTTGTTCGCATCTCGCTTTTTCGTCCTCTCAATACTCTTGCCTCTTAAAACTATTGGCATCCCTATTCATTCGGAACTTCCGCTGCCTTTCTGCACCTGACATAGGCATTGTTAAAATCTGAAAATTATTTAAAAACTTGTAGTAAAGTTAATCAATCTTACATTTTTTTCTCATAAATTACCAAATGTTACTTTATTTTTATCCCCTACGACTATGTATTAATAAAGAATTAAGTAGACATGTCAAATAGCTATTTATGTTCATTTTGTAAGTGAAATGAATTTTTTCCGAACAGTTGCAATGGAAACAAGCTAACATTATCTTTTGATATAAACTATACATTGAATTGTCTTTCTTGTAACAAAACCGGTCTTTCCTGTAACATTTTGACCGTTACGGAGTGGACTGTTACAGGAAAGAAAATATTTGAACTAAATGTGATAAAAATCAAATCATGATAACTTCTAAATGTCCAAACAAATGTCCATGGAAATCAATTTTAATTAGCGATTTTCGCCTTTTTTCAAAAATGATTCAGTACATCATGGAGCTGAGAAATGTATGTTACAGGAAAGATTCGAGAAAAATATACTCTCCAATCATAGTTACTTAATGTTGTTTTTTTTATAAATTGTATGTCTTGAAACTTAAAATTAAAATGTCTTGGTCAAGAGGAAATGACATCATATCCCTTGAAAGATGGACAACTCTGTTTATTTAATAGAATCCATATTATTTAAAGTAACAGGTGCCTGTTACAGAGTGGACAAGCTACTCAGACATGAAGGAGGGAATAAATAGTCTATTTCTTGAGGCAATATTCTCAGAAACAGTAAAAAATTTTAAAATGAAGATTTCAAGCCATAGATTTAAGAAAATATTATCTAGATATTTTATCTTGTTACAGAAAAATTTTCATTTAGGTTTCCATACCTTTATGGTAAAGACCACCGGGTAATTTTACATATTTTTAAGACAAAAAAAATATTACTGATCTAAGGCATTACATATTTTGGCAAGTATAAGGGTTGAAACTGTTCGGCCCTATGTTTTATATTATATTTGAAAAGAAATTTCAAAAGTGAACATTTTAGGAATTGTGGTTTGAGGACAAGAATTTTGAAAATTACCCATATATGAAAAGATTTCTAAAATGTGTTATATACTTGCATGCATGTATACACTCCAATTGTTAATTAAGCAGTTTACTTTGGTAAAATTCATAATGGACCAAAAAAAAAAAAAAAAAAATAGCGATGCTAAATGTTTACTTTTTAGCTATTATATATATAGTTTTGGTGTTCTAAAATTAATGGCAAGATACTTTATTTTCACTATCAAAAAAATGTAAAAGATCGCATTTTCTACATTTGGGTGTATAGTTTTATGAATTTGTCCAAAAGAATTCGTCAGGTTACTAACAAAATCAGAATGCGCCTTTGAAAGACCGGATGCGCGTATCAAAAAATAAATTGCGGTGGTCTGAGAATATTTCTTTAAGTAGACAGGAGACAGATGCTATTATCTTAGTCCATATAAAATTTTAACTAAATGCCAATCGTCGACGGAAAACTAAACATCGCGCCTACCTTAAAGACACAACCGATTTTGTCAATAAAAAAAAAATAATCTTCGAGTTCCCTCTAATGCTATTTTAATTTCTATCGACGTTTCTTCTATGTATACCAATATCGATAACACTACTAGTTTAACCTCAGTTCGTAAAGGTTTTAATAGAAACCCAGATCCAAACAGACCTGACGATGCAATTCTACAGCTTTTAGGGAATTGTCTTAGTCGAAACGATTTCACATTTAATGGTAAAACATATTTACAAACTTCAGGGACAGCTATGGGCAAACGATTCGCCCCTTGTACGCAAACTTTTTCATGGCAGAGTGGTGTTGCCCCTCTGTTCATTTGGCCCACTTTTTTACCACCCGATCCTGTAAAATTAGCTAAAATTATTTGTCTTAATAGCCCCTTTCAAAGACTATTTTTTTAAGACACAAACCTAAAAATCTGTATTTGATCTGCTCCATTTAGATGTACAAGCCTTAAGAGCTTCACAAAAACTTTTAAGTGAGACTTGACTTTCAACCAACAGCCCTATCATCCATTTCATTAACTCAAAACTAAAGGCAACTGCAGGACACCTCACACTTGATAATCACTCACGCTCCAAAAACTTATTTTGGTTCAGATATACAAAAATCATTGGGTTCTCTTCCTGGATTTCCATGGGCGAAATATCCCGGAGAAAAACATCTTCCCGGTCATAATTACACTGGTCCATGTACCAGGTTAGATCTGCGATTAGACGAAAACGATAAACCCAAACCCGGCGAAGAACCAGTCAATAGAGTTGACGCCGCTGCGCTTAAACACGACATACTATACAGAAACAAAGACATAAAATTCAGACACGAAGCAGACAGACAAATGATAATCGAACTTGAAAATATTCCAAATCAAACTTTCAAAGAGAGAATGCAAAGAGCATTAATCATTAAACTGTTAAAAGCAAAGATGAAATTGGGCATGGGGTTAGCGGATGAAATTCATAAAGAATTTAGAAAAACTAAAAACTTTTTAAAAGTTAAAGTAAAAGATGAAATATAGTCAGCAGATTTAATTAATATGCCAGTCGAAAGAAGAT